GACCCAGACAAGTCCTAAAGTGACCGCCAAACGTCAGATAGTCGCATAAACAAAGCATTACAAATATATGCATTCCATGGCGAATAACATTTTTTAGGCCTGAGTATTTTCCGAAGGCTAGTCCACGCATACCAGGATCGGGTACATCTTAAAAGACCGCTAGGCACAAACAAGGTACTACTTTAGAGCTGTCTGGACTTCATTTTAGTTGTTTAATTTGCTTTGATTGGTAAAACTTGGCATTAACTTTTTCAACAAAGCTACTTCATATCCACCACTCAACCCCTTCGTCCATAAATCCCTATTAATGCTGATTAACACTACCCAAGCAGCATTCCTTTCCGGAAGTCCCAGAAAGCAGCTGTTAGAGAGGAAACTATTAGCTACGATTCCTATAAAGTGCTATAAATTCGGTTAGTTTTATCACTGTCACTCACATTGGTATTCTTCTGTGTGGGCTGGCCTTGGAGCAATATCAAAACTCCAAATCGCGTTCAGCTATGCACAATGCATTCCGCTAAATCACTGCCGCGTTCCGCTCGCAATGTTTGTTCTTGTTTGCACGCCGCCCACAATTGTCAGTTAAATGAAGTTCCTCAAACAATTTCCATATGGAACTGGGTTAAATCCCGTTTTGTTTTACTTTTTTAATCCACTTTTGTGAATTAGTGTTTGGTAATCCAAGACTTACCTCTTAAAAATGGAAAGAATTTGATTTGAACGGACATTTACATTCAAGCGGAAGGGATATTGTCGAATAAGTTCTGCATACTTTTTGGCATTATAAAAGGACTCCTATTTGGCTGCTTGATTATACCCTGTAGTTAATCACATCAGTTTAGTTTTTTGTTCCATGGTCAATCCTTTTTGCGCCTACCAGCCAACGAAAGATCTAATCCCGCATTTCCTCCTGCTCACCCTTGTCTCACTCCGTGTGGCCCTAATTTACCACCGGTGTGATGCTCTGTTTTGTGACAATTCGATATCTGGTGGTTAATTTGGGATTCGCCCGTCACTTTATGCGTAGGCTGCCCTCGAACCAAGCTCGGGATTGATCCCTTTTCTGCCCCAACTTAACGCCTCCTCCCACCTAGTGGGAATTCTCGGAACCATACCCTCAAAATAATTTTTACCACACTTTTTAATATTTATTTTTATCCTCACTAGGCACTGTCCATTTTGAATAAGTGATGACAAGCTTTTCATCGTACACTGACAAGTACGAATAAAGCCAATGAGGCCAGTCAATAATTGACCAAACGTCCCTCCCGACATTGTATTATTGCAGGTAAGAAGGGTGTTGGTGAGCATGCCACAATGGGCTCCATCAGTCGACGCTGAATAAAACGACCAACACAAGGGAGTTAGATTTAATTTAGATTTAGATTTAATTATCTCCCTCTATCTTTCGACTAGCCAATCCATCACGATCTCAATACATGGCAGCAGAAGAGAGCAAGAAAGATGACACACAAACTTGAGGAAGGAGGTAAAGAAGGCATACAGCATCACCATGAATGGATTACGTGATAAACGCAACATTGCTCAGTAAATTAAGCACCGGTACGAATCATGAATAAGATGTACATGATTGGTCACCAGATACAAATATGCAATCCAAGTCACTTGAGGTTCCCACCTTTAATGCGGCACCGACGAACACTTCCGAGATACGACTTCCCATCGGCTGTGACACGCATTGTCCTATTACCAAGAGCAGGAATTGAACATGCGATAGTAATTTATCAGAAGGACGTGGTGCGGTCGAACTACAGGTCGGCGGATATTGGCGCGATGACACAAAGTCAGAGGGAGGATAAAGGCAGGTAAATTGCCTCATTTGTAGTAAGCAACTGAGGAGGAGGAGAAGGGAAAAGTAGAGCAAGAGCACGACTTTGAGCACGCGCACATAAATATCCTCATCACCTACCAAGTGAAACCAACAGCAACACCATCACGGACGCTTCAGTGACACCAATTGCTGCCATCATTATGACAGAAATCCAGCAGAAGGGAGGTTCACAATCTGCACCAGCTTCAGCACATGCATAAACACCCCACGCCAAACTTCCACACTAATTGTCCACACACTGCTTTGCCTCCACGAAGCTGGGAAAGGAAAAGAGGAGACACCTCTCATACAAGTGTATTTGCAAAAAACGAGATGAAATGACAACTACGCTTACAACAATCACGGAGCAGTGTAACTTGGATACAACTTCGTCAAGGCTACCACCAACAACTACACATCCACACATCTCCAGACCGACAAATAGTGCTTCCTTTTGACTACCACCACGCCAAGCAGGTACAACGTGAAATTGGTGTGCTGTTACTCCATCTACTCAAAACCAACATTGTTTCCGCGACGTAAAAGTCATGGGTGCACATGCTCAACATCTCGCTCTTTCCTGCGCATGCAGCTGCGAAGGCAGAAAAACCAAATATAAGCAAAGGGAGATGGCACCACACTTCTGCCGGCTCGAAAAACATAAAATTATGAAAAGTAGTGCAATTGGAACAGCTCAACTGTGCAATATCAAAAGATGTTGATCGCCATTTATACGCGGGTGTTGTAAGCTATAAGGATGGAAATACAACAGAGCATATGTTAAGGAATGGTAAAGCCACTGCAAAGTGAGTGAAGGACGACACCAAACGACCGCCGCATAACAAACCAATAAAGATGAAGATACATAAAATATAAATACAAAGTCCTAGTTCAATTGTACCACAAATTTTCTTTTATCTAAAACATCGAAATTTGAGTTACGTTGCAAAACAATTACAAAGTCCATGTTCGTGGAGATATTAAAAATGTCAAATAGCGCAATAATAATGGGAAAGACTTTGAAACCAAGGGATATATATATTCCAATTTATGTCACTGGAAGTCAAATTACGCAATTATAGGGCATGACTTCACTAGGTGTGATGTCGTTCATCCGATACTCATATTTATGTCCATCAACTTTCTTAAATAGTCTGCTCTATAAGTTTATTTAGAATTCGGTGCAGCATTCAAAAAGAATTTCGGATATTGCTCAGGGATGTGTCTAAAGTTACCCCATTGAAAGCTACTTACGGTCTCCTAACATAGGATCAGCTTTGACTGCCCGCCACTCCTCCCCGCAAGCACAATTTTATCAAGGTGGCACCTCGAGACCTACTAGATGGAAGGTGGTATTAACATATATGTATCTTAGGAGAAAAAGAAGGGTTTGTGCCCCGTCTTGGTTAGAAGACTAGATCGCTCGCACTGGACGATTTCCAAAGTAGTTAGGAAATGTTTGATTCATGTGACTACTTGGCGTTCGGCGGTTTCTCTAAGATTTGTCTGGTCCTTATGCATGTGAGCTGGCTTTCTGGCCATGCTCGGGGCTAGTCGCTTTGTCCTCTTCAAAATACATGTACCCAGCTTCAATTATTGACTCCTTCTACCCGGTAAGAAGACTCAGGACGCTATAGATACTGTACATTAACTGGTCACATAAACGAAGTTTTACAAAATTCTATGCTAGAATTCATCAGACGCGATTGCAGATCGCCTTAAATATTAAATAAATTATTGATAGGAAATAGGATGTCAGGAGAAGATAATGCGACGCACTAAAAGAGCACATGATGTTAGTGGCGTAATTAGGATCAAACTTTAAGTTACGTTAGCAGTCTTTTGTCTGATTATCTTGACGAAGGACAATGGCAGTCTAAAATTGAGCATCAATTGCAGGAATTTTGACCACATTACCAATGCTTACTGCTTAAAACCCCAACGATATTCTCCTCGGTGAGCACAAAGTTAGGACTCCTACAATGTCGATGGTAGTATTCATGCATTGTAGACAAGGTAAATCCAGATGGAGGTCGTTTTGATTGGTCACTTTTTGGTACTTTCATCTTTTGTCGAGAGGGCAAGTAGCACATTTTATGATAGAGGATTTACCACAAATTCAAGTAAAGTGACCTTAATGCGGTGATCCTGTCATAGGCGACCACTTTGCTCGATACCTCAGTCTTTGAAGTAGAATGCGAGGTCATGGGAAAGGTCGACCCCAAAGGCAGCTTCTCACTTCGCAAATATTTTGCTTCATACCCAGTCTGCAGCACAACTTTGTTGAGAAGGTAGCGCAAACCTTTCCAAAGTAGGTGACGAACGAACTCTTTGTCTCCTTCCCATGCCGAGATCGTAATGAGGTGTTGGAGAGAAAAGTTTTCCGCGGGTTTCTGCCTGGCCTCTTAGCTCATCAAATGCATCCTTTACTACCACGCGATTTTTTCCAACGCACCAAACCGCATCTCTGTTGCGAGCAAGTTTGCAGTGTACAATCGCCTCGATCACTACGGTTGTTCCGCATGACTCCTCTGTGTTGGGCCTGAGGGTTGATACGAGTCTCATCACCTCATAATGCAGCTTCACCTACAAACAGTTAATGGGCGTGCGCGCCCATCACCACCCTCTGGTGAGTGCTCTCGGTTGATGCTCTCACTGTAGAATTCGCACCACCCTCGCACTAAGCCACATCGTCCGCGTAACATGGAGAACTGCGGAAACAGAGGTGAATGCCACTCCTTTTCATCTCACATACCCACGTCTCCATTCATCACATCACCGATTGACTTCGTGACCGAAAACTTCCCAAGTGGATGCCCAAGCGTTGGAGACATCGCAGGACACCACGCCTTCCTACTACTACCGACTGAGAAGAAGGCAACCAAATAAGTACGTGTTTACATGAAAGGGAGGAAAAATCTACGTAAGCATTGAACTGTGAAGAAGTTAGCATGTGTAGGTGTCATGTGGAATGACAAAGGTCTAGAGCGCTTCAAAGAGATCAACACGCTTTTTGGTGTAGCCACTCTGGATGATTTTGAGGGTGGAGAACTTGGGATCTTGACTCGAATTACGGGAGCTCTCAGCGCCACTGTAGTAGTCCGGAACCACCATTCGAGGGTCTGCAGTTCCTCGAGGAGCTACTTTTGGTTTGGGTTGCACTGGTGGTCTGTAGGCCAGTTGAACATCATCTGGTTCCACTAATTGACCGTGAATTCGACCTTAAAAACAAATCGAAAACATTCAAGAGAACCGTGACTGCAAAAACAGCTTTTCAAATTATCATCAGACGGTGCTTTAAAATCTCCTGCATGGAAGCCTACTTAAAATCGCATTAGTGGACCCGAAAATAGACTCTTGTCCAACGTCTTCATGACTGAATCAAGCACTACAAATCAATGTGGATGTACCCCTGGCGAACTGGTTGGATGGATCTTGCTCGGGCGTGCGAAGAACGTGTTTCCAAACGTTCGGTGAAGTGACTGAGCCTGGCGGATCCATTTCCTGACTGCCACGAGTGTCTGCATAGCCTGATTTATCCGGAATGGAAACTGTAGGTGCTTGTGGCTCCTGAATAGGAGCGGATGGATTCATAGGGCGATCTAAGAATTTACAAATCGTGCTAAGAATGAGAATTCTACTGTTGCCCTTATTACATTATGCACCAGGTAATTCACAAATGAAAAAGGATTAACCACCAACACCCACAATGACATTCGTTGATGAAGTTTTACTAAGAAGAACAACCCCTTGCATGTGTTTGTAAACTGTGGAAGCATAAGCATAGTAATTAATCGCAAACCAGGGAACTTTGGATAGGCTTCCGGATTGTAAGTTGCTGGTTTCATGGGTGCGTCATCTGAGGATGCCTTCAGTTGACCCGAAGGGTTGGGAAGAAGGGGTTTGGGCAACTCTGGCATCGTGGAATTGAGTGCATCCGACTGTTGTTTGTGACCGCTAGGGTAGGGATGTTCCACATATCCATGACCCTCCGTCTCTGACGACGAAGTCGCCGAGTTGGCTGCCTGATTTTGAACGGCTGAGGACTGAGGTTGTGGTTGCTGCCGCGGCTGCGATGGTGTGGTTTTAACTAGTGAGACATTAAGCATTGCAGGCTACTCTGTGTTCTTTGGCTCAAAAACACAACTGGCTCAACTGTGCATTATTCCAAGCACATGGTAATGGTTACTACTTATGATAAAATAAGTAAACGTTAATGATTTGGATAAATTTGTCTCCTTGTCTCCGGAATGCCTTCATAGTCTTGCAGAGGTGACGGTATAAGGCAGGAGGCGAGTAAACGATGAAAAACGGCAAATCAATGTTGGCAAATAGGAAGATGGTAAACTCCTATGCCGATGCTATGCATGCACTTGCACACGCATACACACATAGGCACATGCAAGAGTCGCGAGAGGGAGTGAAAGCATTGAGTGAGGCAGAGGCGTTTGAGTAAGATAGGCGCGTCGTGTCAGTGGCACACAAGACGACTGATCGATGAGGCGTCAGCAGAGTGACACGACGCCCCACTCATTTGAGCCGCTTCATCTTAATCACATCTACATCCTCCAACTTAGCAGTAGTAAGGTAGGTCGGTAACTTTTTCCCACTCCCATATAATTATGAAAAACATTTCTTTTTAAATAAAGAGATGCGTATTTTGCCTTGATTAGAGAGAAAATGTGAGATGCCCATGATTGACTGTATGAAAATGACTAAATTAAGCCGTATTGAAAGTGGACAGGTAAACAGAATGTCGAAATCAGACGTTGGGAATGTGTAGTGGATGCATTAAAAATACAAGCTAGCTTATTCAGCTATCCAAAAATTCGTGAAATCAACTACGTTAGGGGAGGGGGTCCAAAAGACTAGTGCGCACAAAACAATGATTCCTTGTTAAAGTGGTTGGGAATGGTGTAATGAAGCTGGAAAAAAAAGTACCGCGAACTCGTCATCCCCCATAGAAGAGATCAAAACAATTGTTTGGTAGTCTTAAGTTCCCACCTCAGCCAGCAGGGAAGAGATAAGGAGTGCGTTTTCTTTTAAAAAAAACCACTTATAAACTACGGAAGTAAGGAATAGATTAAGCAAACTACGCTTTGGGTGGAATGTGCTCACCTTGATCATCTTGTTTTGACTCGATGGGAGCAACCCTACCTGAAATGTAAGAAGAGTGAATGCAAGTCGAGAGGCGAGCAGGGAAATGCGTCTCGGAGTTATCGGAGCCATTCGCAAACAGTCGAATTGTTTTGCGGTCTAAGAATGGTTACTCGCGAAAAGACCCCAAAAGACGGTCGCAAAAAAGATTGCCACCTCTAAAATGACCTCAGACAAACAAGCTAGAGAAGCCTAAAGTGTTAGGCGTTTTTAGCGAACCACATCACAGTCAACTGTGCTTACCCTTATTATTCTTCTGTGGAGATTTGGACGATGAATCCCACTTTGGCACAGAATCTGAGCATGATGCAGGCGTGGGTCAAAAATGTATGCGTGTAGAACAAAACAACTGCATAAAACAAGTAGTTTGGTGATCACTGAGGATGATTTTTAAGCATCTTGATAATTTTGTATATTTGGGTGGAACTATGGTAAAATAATTACGAAGAATGTCCACGAGGACAGGTAGGCAAGATCAAGACGTCAAGGTCAAGTGGACTAACCAATCAGAAGCCTCCAGCTCAAACACTTTCCGCACATCCATTTTACAACGCAATATGCTCACCATTACTACCTTTCTGTGAAGACTTGATCGGAGGATTCCACGTGGGCATAGCTGGAAAAGGTAGAGACACATGCGAAATACTCAACAGTTGATTAAAGAATGCCTTAGAAGGGAGAGACAGGAAGACAATTGGATGAATGCCACTGCCCCTCTCCCCACACCCATTTTGATTCGTGTGTTACTACTTATAATTTGTGCAATGTCTAATAAAACCCACTTAAGCAAACAGCCACCTGAGGAAGCAGTTGGGAGGAAGTAGGTTAAAATCGATGGGGAGGCTGCAGCGTGGTCAAGAGCAGATTATGATTTGTGAAGCGAATTTGATGATTACATCAAATCAACTAACAGTTCTGGAGCAAAAGAACCGACATAAATCATTGCTTAAGAAGCACACGATAGAGTTACGCTCCCAATGACCGTTGTAGCCGGATCGCTCTGATTGCCAATAACACACACAGGCACACTGACACTATGTCACTTGTCATTCAGTTTGACCAAATTGCTGCTAAGTTTACTCAAGAACAAAATCCTTCTACTGCTTGTGGATCAACTTTTATCAGTCGATTGTCTTCTGTTTTTGCAAAACAAATGAGGAACAACTTCATTAGAGGAACAGTATAATCGATGCAAATATGCAATACCGATGCCGAGTAAAGTGTGATCTTGTCTAAAATTACCTATCATACCGATACTCCACAAGTCAACGAACAAATTTCAGTCAAAAAGAGAAATACAAATTTAAGAAAAATCTGTACTGTTCAGTAGGTAAGTAACGTGATGCCATTGATGAACGAGTGAATGGCATTTGAGGCGGTTGACTTGGCATTACTAAGCATTAACCACACCCAGACTAAATTAGTCCTCACATTTTGGGTTGCCTGACAGCGCGGGTGGAGCTGAATTAGGCAGCCATTGACATCTGTCATGCACAATTAAGAAGGCTGAACACATTTACGCAAGCCACGGTTTCCCTAGGGCAGTACAAAGCATGCTTGGACTACAAGGAATAATTTAACTTTTATTTATTTATTCATTTGCTTACCAGTATTCCGTTCGGAGCCGGAGTCGATATCCGATGAGTAGTCGTCAGAACGACTTGTCAGAGTTCCACCAATACGAATTGCTAGGCAATAAACGAAAAGAAGTTAGGCATTTAAAATGCACCTTAACCATCAGTTACTACCTAATCATTATCCTCTGAATCCTTTTGTACTTTGTTTTAATGGATGTGACACCGTTGCAATGACCTCAACACACTTTCAAATAGTGCTAAGGCAAGCAAAGAAGACTCTGTAATTGGGCTCCACCTTACCAAAATTGCCACGATAACGATGTGGACGATCCGTAGGCTCTAAAAGGCATTTAATGTGTTAGGCTTGACAGGCCGTTACATTGGTGCAATTCAGTTGTTATGAGGTGAGGATAAAGCGCACACCACTACTGCATTACCTTTCTCTTTGAAGAAGTCCTACAATATCAAAGAGGAAGGGAATTGATCTGTATATATGCATATAAAGATTGGTGAAATGCAACGATTTTGGCATATTTGCGAACTGGGCAACAAGGAGAAGGATTTTAGTCTTCTCTCAAGGCACACTTTGAGTACATAACAGTGTTTGGCAGTGAAACACCCTTTATTGAGCCAGGGCAGATCGTGGGTGTGAAAACGCGCAGGTTTAAGCACACACTTCTTTATGGTAGGGGTTAACCTTCTGTAACGCCTTGAAACTGGGAATTCATGTAACTTTTAGCAGTATTATCCAAACTATCCAAATGATATTGTAGTGATATTAGCTTCATACACCACAGGTGGAGGAGGAGACCATGGAAACTTACCGATGAGTGAAGCATATAGGAAATACGACGAAGGAACAAAACAATGATACTTTGTGGCATCACGTCCCATTTTGAGTCGAATAACGCGACCGAATACGAAAGATATAAAGCTGTTTAGTGGCCTAACAATATGGTAATTATCTTCTGTTGAGATAAGAATACGTTCTATACTTTAATCCGTAGTAAAATCACCTTTCTAATCTTAAGGCCGACGAAAATTCGTGGGCGCACTTTTGGTTGTGAAAGGAGAGGTGTAAATGAAGTGCGATACTGATCCTCATCTTTCAGTCTTCGAGTCTTCTTGGAAGACCCATTGTAGCCTTGGAATAGGGTCAGGAGATACACGCACATTTTGGTCTGAAGTAGCTAAGGTAGCCGCGTATGGATTAGGTGGAGTTCCGCCTACGCATACACCTGTCAGGTTCCATATGCGCCACTTTGAAGTCAATGCCGATGCACTTCCACCTCACACACACACGCACACACTCACTGTGGTCTCCACTTACCTGCTCCAAGAAGACGCGGATTTGCGCAACACGGTGCTGAAGCAGACGAGTTTCGTCAGTCGACGGGACGTTGAGTGAAAGCTTCACCTCAATGCCTCGAGCCTGTCGAAGTTGATCCTTCACTTGCCATGAGGCGTACTCGTAATTTGTTGCCCGACGAGGTAATTCCAGTTCCAATTCGGTAATTTGTTGCTCCAATTTAGCCAGCTCCATGGGGCTTAGTTTGTGGGGTCTGTAGAGGGAAAGGGAAAGAGCAGTGAACTCCGAGGAGGACAAACTATTCTCCTTTCAGAGGCATCGGATTTGACAACTCGAAGTTCATGTCTCCGAATAGATTAAAAGTCTCCTACGGATGAAAGCATGAAAGATCTTGTCATCGCTACATTTGTATGGAGATGGTAATGAGTAAAGTTGATGGGAACGATGGAGATATTGAAATATGAGGCACCAGTAACTCTATCCTGAGTGTGTCACATGGCAAGACGAAGGTCACATGCACGATTTGTCATCCCAATGCCAATTTGACTGCCAACATTGGCACAATCTGAAGCACACTTTCACCCTAATCAGAACCCGCTACCGAGTCATATGTTAATAACACATAGAACTGCTTCCATTGTGTATGAGGAAGGTTCTAGTCCTCTGCCTCTTGGCGTGGAGCAGTATCTAAGCTAGTGCCAGCAAACAAGCATCCGACGGATGTTGAAGGGCTCCGAGATAGGCAGAGAGGAGAAACAAACCAATGAGTGCAGGTGATCTTCCAAATGCATCAAATCTCAAAAGTATCCGAAAGCCCTTTGAAACGCTTAAAACACCAACATATTTATTCTTTTGTTAAGGCATGGTAAAGGTAAAATATAGCCTTGGCCTCGACTACCAAAGCCCAGCATTCACATTCCAGTTGGAGGAGGAAAGGCGAGTAATGCCTCTTCACGGAAAGCAAATTTCCATCTGCATCATTCCAATGCCTTCTTAGTCACTCAAAGACGTCAGATGATAACACACTCTAGTTGCCACCTCCCATTTACGAAGATGGGTTTCAGACTCAAGCAATAAAATTCAACAGATTAAAAATTGCAAAGAAAAGGCTTAATTTTTGCCTGCCTTAGTCATTTTAGGTGCAAGCTTCGTCTTTAAACCTGCAGTACAGAGAAAAATTAAATTAGCCGCTACCAAAATGCAGGGGATGCATTAACCCACTTGATTGCCACTTCATTAACCGCCGGTTCAAGGTAGATGTCATTCAAATTCTCATCATGCATGATATGGAGTCGCCAAGGCTGTGTCTACATTTACATGAGGAGAGGTGCCCCACTAACCAATCACAGCCATTACGAACGAAGTATTTTGGCACCACTGAGGCGAAGAAACTCACCGCATTCGCATACTGGAATTACTCTCCGACCGACGGATGTACTTGGAGGAGACATCTCCCTTCCTTCGACGCGCATAAAGCTCCCTACTGCCCAGAAAGAGACTCTCCAACAGACTACATGTCTGCGTGTTGGATACAAAAAACGTGATAACCTTAAAGACAGAAAAGGAGTGTTAATGCCACGTGGTTGTTGATTTATTGACTTAACAGACTGTCGGCTGAAGGGAGAAGAAGGAGGGCAAGTGCAGCAGGGTTAAAGTAAAATCAACATAGTGCAGGAGTCTGACAATTTAAGAAGACCAAAACGACACACATGTGCCCCAATGCACCACATTTAGCCGACAATAATCACCACTCGAAGAGCTGATCCATCGAAAGAGCATTTGTGAGAAAGAAAAGCGCTAAAACAGTCTGAGCGAGTAATATCGTTTACTTAAAAAACCGGTTTTAAGTAGGCTTTTTCCCCATAAAATGACCTTGGCATTTCATTGCGGTGCGCAGGGCACCCAGAAAGCAGGACTCACATTCACCTTTTTGTAAAATAAATAATAGTAGAGGAAAAGAGTGCACATTTTTCTCAACTTGATCATCAGAAGTGTGTGAGTGATTATCTGGTGATGTCACACAAGACACCTAAGTATGGGCCATGGCAGTCGTCTGTGAAGAGGGTTAGGCATGCTGATGGGAGGGCCTTAAAAGTCCCATGGTGGTATTGGCTAATTGCGATCACAAAATGGGAGAAACTCGTACCTTTTGGGGCTCATGAACGAGAACAATTTCAATCTGGTTGTCCCAGGCATTAAACGAAGCTATATCTGACCAAATGTATCGTTTCGTTGGCGGTTTTCTATAAAAATACGAGAGCAGTGTGTCAGTTTTGAAGTTCGTGAAGTTAATTTTACTGAGTAAGTGTCAATCTACTTTTTGCTCTCGTAGATATTGAGTCCAACAGCGTCCAAACTGATCCACTGTCGACCTTTGTTTTTTGTCTCCACCTCAAAAATTGATGCTCCATAAAGTTCTACATCCTGAGCTATATCCAAATATTCCACTATGGCATCAAGAAATGAAGTGTCCCGCAGTTTAAGATGCCATTTCGAAATTCGCTCCTCCCAGTCAGTAATGGATAGGTTGTGGTTATCTATGGTGCTGAAACAACCAGATTAAAAAATTAGTTGGTTTTTTCCATCAAAAGCTGCGAAAGAGGCGTTAACTCTGTTGTTTAAAACAACATTAAAAGTGAGACTCCATAAATGTCACCTCTTTGGAAGAAGTTCCTTAACCGGAGGAACGGGAACTCTGAGACCTTGGGCAGGTCCGAATTTCGCTTGGCAGGCATAGGCAGCCAAGTAAACAGCAGTTTCAGGAGGACAAAAAATTTTTTCACTAAGAATGGCACTGTAAACCTGCAGAAAATAGTGGCTCAATTTTACGACATTATAGAAAATAAAACGCTTATATATTATGTACCTTATTAAAAAGGCGCTTTATTAGATCTTCGTTTCCCGCCACATTTCTGCGATCAAACGACATGGTTTCGCACAGTCTACAATGCAGTAAACATACCATTCAACAGTGAAACAAGACTGTTTTACACTACTTTTGCATCAAAATTACGGGTTTTATTATTGTCTTCAATTAATTGTTTTGGGTTTTATTTGTGCTATTTCACTACTATTTTGTAAAGACCATCTTCATATCGTTTCAGAGCACCACACAGATTGTACTCATTATTCTAAGCCAATAATCATGTTCATTGAAAGGGGCAGCAGTGCAATGAGTAAAAATATGCTGAATGAAAAAAAGACTCGTCTAGTAAGTAGATTAAACTATTTGGTTTATTAAATTAAAGCTAGAAATTCTGTTCTTAGATTGCATTAAAGTCACTGCAACGCTTTGTGGGTAAAACTAAAGCATTAAAAATTATAGCGCAGACTCAAACTCTCCAAGCCGCTTTGAAAAGACACGACGCAGAATGTAAGAATGCCTATAAGGTAAAACAAATTAAGGTCAGTGTATATTTATAAATTTCTGAAAGGAAAGACTGTGATTATTTTTTAATCCTAAATATTATCAGCACCAGCTAAAAACTATGATAAAATCTGGGTGAATCAATATGATTTATGGCTTTAATAATACTGTTACGCTGTGGAATATAATTAAGATTTATTTAATTATAAAGTGAACAAGCGTGGTACAAGGATTCAGGATTTCTTTCAAATTTATAAGTAGCAATATAGAACATTATAAATTTCAGGTTGCTTGTAACTATGGGGAAGTGCATTCCATCGCACAATTTTTCGAATAACCATGGTGCACATGTGACGATTTGTTTATGTCTGTCAGTCAGGCCATTGTACAATTTAAAGCTCAGACTTGCTTTCTTGGCTTTTCCTAAAACACGTGTATTTAGCTTCATATGATGTCTTTCCCACGTGGGAAGACTCGAGGTACTACAATGGATAGTAGCGATGCCTAGTTACATTAATATCACATTGCCATATACACTGATGCTAGTTTCAGTAAGAGGCTTTGCCTCTAATTTTAGCCATATGCAACAGTCACTGGAGACACCAGCCTCTCTTTATTTTGCCCATTAGCAATGCACAACCCCTCACTTACGTTAAAGCGATTTACCTCTTAACAGTTTATCACTGGGGTCATAGCTACGAGTCAAGCAACGATATAACATAGTTCAAATTTAGACTCTGATTAACTTATGCTAATCATTCTCGTCCTTTCCATGCGTTAGGAGGAAAATATGGTAGGTTAGCCATCTTATTGCTTCTTTCCACCACATTATCGAATGAATCATCGGCCCTCAAACCACTCAGATGCTTGCCGAAAGGGTGGCTCATTGCAGTGAACAACATGGCGAATTGGTTATGTAGCAATTCAGAGCTTTCCATTCGATAACAAAAAGCTTGAAAATTAGCCAAATAGTTTTTAGGATACGAGAGCGGAATCAGATTTCGCCACAGTCCGAAGGTCAGACTAAATCGAATGAGTATTCGAATAAACATAGTGGTGCAGATTTTCCGCTTCATTATTGTTTGTAATCATTTGATTTTAGCTAATGTAAATAAAACGTAAGGACAAACCCATCTTCTTTTAATGTAAGCTCATAGAGGCGACAACCTTTAATTTTGTAGTTTAACCATAAATTCCCATAGAATATGCCTCTTTTATGCATTTTAAACAGTTTAAAAATGGGCGGCTCTCTTTATTACTTCATTGGCGATTGTACCAGAACCTGATATGATGTTTAACAATGTATTGACTTGTTTATGTGACTACCTGACATTTGGCGGTCACTTTAGAATTCTTCAGGGCTCTTCGCACGTGGGTTGGCCATAGGGCCACGCTCAGGCCCCATTCGTCCTGTCGTCTTCGAAATATATGTATTCAACCTCAATCATGTTTTCTTCCACCCTATGGGAAGCCTCGAGATGCTATAAGCAAAAGCAAAATGAATATCTTATCTCTAACATCGATTGTAATCATACTTTACTATGAAAAACAATGTTGACATTTGACAAATAGAATTGCCTTTAGAGCGAGCTAATTTGGAAGATGTATGAGCTGTTGACAATACCCTAGATATCTCCACAGTGCCTTAACGACTGGACATGGTGCTTGGATGAAGTTCCTCCATGGTTAAAAGAAACTAGGTTGAAGGCAAACTGATATCGAAGACCCTTGAAGTTCAATAGTTTCATGCTTCTAGACAAGAACAGGTCAGGACTGCACTGTACGCGATCAAATACTGTGCAAACGTGACTGCGCCATGGCTAATCGCACTCCCATTCTCCATGCGTTTTCCATTTCCAGCATTTAAAACGGTCTTTTATTTTGCCTCATCAGAACTGGAGTTGATTTCGCATGAGATCGAGACTCCAACCTGGACTCCAACGCATGCATTCAAGAGGAGGGAGGAGAAATTTAGCTCTGGTTTGTCCCAACGGTCAACCCACACAGCCAAGAGCAATAATAAATGCCAGACACCGCCAGTCCTGCAGATATTGCGTAGACAAATGGTCTAGCAACGGAGGCACAGTTTAAATCAATACAGAAATGACCAAATAATCAAGAAGCCTCACATGCCTACTCTCTTGTGCACACATTTTCAAGGGATTTAAGCCTTTTACCTCACAATTGTTAATAAGTAGTTCAACAAATACCTACGGCATATCCTAGGCAGATGAGGGGGTACATTTGTTAACACGAAACGCCAGTTCAGTGAGGTCGACTGGCAAGCAATTCGTGGGGAATGAACAGTGGCATCTTCCACCGCCTCATAGAGCGTGAATGGGGAGTTGATGCTGACTTCTCCTATCGGTTGGACGTAGCTAAATTTCAATTATGCCACACATTTAGATGTAAATTAAGTCAGGAAACTAACACTCACAGTCCATTGCACAGGACAGGCACGAAGATCAAGACATTCGAAACAATCCGATGGGGTTAATGGGTGAAGAACCCGTTTGCCGTTAAAACGCGTCCGTAAGATCGTGGTACCTCGATGCGACTTCTCCATCGAAATAGACAGCCTCCAATAGAAGACTCCACCGCCAAAATTAAATGATACTGACTTGTGAGTTGAGTGCACAAATCTGGAGCTGAGCACTCGCCTGTATTTACGACTTTTGCTAACTGAAAGTGCAAACTGAAGCACGCCTTCACCGACAATTAGTATCCATCCTGTCGTGACAACGTCCTAATACTGTATCACATTTACTGGACCTCCACTAAAATGATTAACTAGGAAGTACGCCAAATATTACCGTGACCAACAGCCTCCTGAAAAATTCTAGACCTGCGTACCGAGTGATAAACTCTCCCGCCACTCATTATACTGGATGTAGTCACCACATCAGCAATAACACTCTACCTGAATGCAAGCAGAAATGGCTAGTTAAAGAGAATTGCTGCATACACAAAACCTGACAGTCTTTATCGGTGTTTTCAACCAATTAAATGTAGGGCAAAAGATAATAGTTACAGCTTGTTGAAGGAAGCGATGTCAACCGACTGAACGTAGTCATGGAGCTCCATTATGTTGTCTTCTAGGAAGTCGGTGCCAACCTAGAGAATGAAAAAAAAACCGTGATAACTTAAATTCCAATTAGGCCACTATTCAACCACAGCCGTCAAATCTTCATAATGATTGAATGTCCTCAGAGTACATTCCCATTTGATTAGAAGTAATGAATACCTTCCTTCATCACTATCACACATCTGAACAAAAGGCAACACATGTAGTAGTATAAATCCACTCCACCATGCCGAACGTGGACATCACAATAGTGAAAAACAAACAAGTTCAAAGCTGACCTTATCGTCTTCAACGACGCAGGCTATCTGCAGCTTGCTTATGCCGTGGACAAGAGGAACGAGCTTAGAGGTGCCCCAGAGTAAACCATCCGCAGTGATTGCTCGAACTCCCTTCTCCATCTCCGCCATGTCCGTGGTGTCATCCCAAGGTTTCACGTCCAGAACAATCATTGACTTGGCAACCGGTTTTTCTTTCTTCGATGCTGCTGCCTTGTTCTGCTCAGACATCACTTGCTTGTATCGATCCTTCTCATTTTCCTGGAGTTAGATATCAAAAACGAAGTTGCTTTTAGGCCTTGGAGCACGCACCTTAACCAAGTTTTAATGTCGTCGGAGTAACAATAAGTTCTGAAAATGAATTTGCAGCATTAGTGTAGAAATTAAAAAGCTAAGAACGCTAAATGACGATTCGACACAGAAACACTCCAAGGGGAGCAATACTCTCACAGCAATTTAGATGACTGGCATGGAATGAGATGCAAAGGAACGCAAAAAAACTTTGGTCTCATAACCCCTGAAGTGAGAAGTGAGTGCGAGTAATTTCATCGGTAATTTTTTTCCTTTTAAACCCACAAAAATTCGAAGACTAGCACCGTAAGTTACGCATTCAGCAGATCCCCAATGAAGCAACATTTAAGATCGACAATTTTAGCTGCAATACAGGAATAACATGGGATATGCAAATAGTAGACGGATTAGGTGGTATACAATTCTCCTCATGCGAATCCTCTCAGACGAGACACAGAAACAAGCGAGCAATTCTTAAGACAGGCACTACAGCATCGTATTCAAGAAAATTAATAACATTATCGAAAAACGTGTATAACGTTGTGTTAAATTAATGGGAATTGTTAAGAACACCGCAGCTATTTTGGACTACCCACACCAATTGGCGTGAACCATAAAATTACAGCTAGCAATAGACAGTGCGATGGACGATGCAAACACGGAATCACGAAATAGGCTGCCGAACCGCAGACTTAAATTTTGCTGCACAACACAGAACCCAGGAACTGCTGGACCAAAATGCTCAAGAAATGTGCAGATAATGAACTCACGTCATCCGATCCGAAGAGATCAACGTCGTCATCACCACATTCGGGTTGCGGTGCCTTAGCAGTAGCATCAGCAGCAGCAGCAGCGGCGGCAGCTGCACCAGCAGGTCTGACCGACTTAACACCTTTGGGCGGTTCAGAAGGCAAAATCTTCCCCAAACGTTGGATTTGTACTTCTAACTCGCTCACACGCAAGGACATCTCCTTCACAACTAAGAAGTGAAACAACGAAATTGAAAACATGCAAATGGGACCAAGATCACCATCAAATTGATAATTAAATTTGAACGGCCTCTTAAACGTTGCGATATCCTATACGTACTTGTCTCCAACTTCTCCATTCGTTCATTCCACGAACCATTCTACAATGCAGGAAGAAATCAAATAAGCAGTTATTTCAGAAATAATCTCATCAACAAGTTTTAGTATTTGACATGTAGGATTGGAGCAAACTTACACTCTCCAGCGAAGATTTAATATTGTCGCGCACCTTTTGTATTTCCTTTACCAAGTAGGACTCCCCCTTCTAAATACCTTACATGACGAAAACAAGACCATTAACTTGTTCCGATATAGATGCTTTTCCAGAATCTTGTGAAAGGAACCGCATGTACGCCAACTCCATCTCATGATAATGAGGGAATTGATGATAAGAATGAGCGTCAAACCTCAACGCACCTTCCATCGTCAGCAGCGTGAAAGAGCGACTCAAACAAGCAGCAAATAAATTGGCCCAATGTCACGTTCTGAGACCTTCAATGAAACATAATGATTTTTCTCCGTTTCGGTATTTGATTTTCCACTAATTTATGTTGAAGCATATAACTATATTAAATTCTTGAAATCTACTAAAGTTTTGAGGTGATTTGACGCAAATGAACTCTGCCATCGGTAAATAATCAATTCAAACTTTTGACAAAAACACAAGGTTATTGGTAAAAGGACGATTTTAGATTGATTAAATATGCTTATTATTATTGGAACATTTTTTTCTTCCGAGGTTTGGTGTGGTAACAATCCCAACCGATGCACTTAGGCAAGGGATCACCGTAGGGCCTACCTGTCCACCCTCAGGCCTCTGCGACTTGGACTTAAGGAGAGGGGTAGTTGAAAAAGCTTTGTTGCGCATCAAGTATAGAAAGAAAGGAAATTATTAGCATAATGAGGCGAAAAGACTGCATCTCAATGACAACTGATTTTCACTCTCCTTATGAACTGGATTCATGTTCATATTGCTTTCCACCTCTCCTCCATAAACGCCAAATTAAGCACATTATTATACGTGATAGTTTGTTTATGTGACCGCATGATGTTTGGCGGTCACTTTAGCCATGCTCTGGCCCATTTGCTCTGTTTTCTTCGGAATACATGTGTTCAGCCTCACTTACTGCCTTCTTCCACACTATGGGAAGTCTCGGGATGCTACAGTATATATCACAAACACAATATGTTGATTTTAAAATAAATCGATTTCGTCCATACTCCCTGTAGCTTCCTGAGACTTTCCGTAGGGTTGAAGAAGGCAGTAAGTGAGGCTGGATACATGTATTTCGAAGAGGACAGAGCAAATGGGTCTGTTCATATCCCGAAGGCCAGCCCACGAGTACAAGATCCAGATAAATACTAAAGTGAATGTTGACGTCAAGTAGTCCCATAAACAAAGCATTACACTCCTGTTGCGCAATTAATGGTCATGTAATTGGGAGAGGTGCTGCTACTGCTTGCAATCCCCTAACATTGTACTTTTTAGTGAAGGTCTACTCAGCGTTCTGGAACTCCTCAGTAGATTAAAGCAGACATTAACTTGTAGCTCACACCTATTAGACGGGATTTTGCCTTGGAATTGTAGTGTCCTTAGTTTATCCACTCATAGTCTGGCGATTACTTCAAATGTTCGTCGAAAGCTATTACCCTTAGGTCGTACTCCGAGCCAAGCCAAGACTCAATCTCAACTGTTCTTCCGAGAGTGCACGTTTCCCGAACAAATTGCCTTCTTGTTCTCCCTGGTGGAACAATCATGGCAACAGAAAGGGAATGCTCTATGTGTTAACGACAACTATCCCATTTTCCAACGTTTATCACATTCATGTACGGTGCGAATTAAACGCATGTACACAGGGCTGGTAATCCTGTAAAGTCCTCACAACAGATGGGTTGAGAGTGATATCTGCTCCCGGCTCTGCCTTGCCTCGCTGTTTTAGTAGATGTTTGCTGTATTAGCAAGTGTTTGGGTTTATTGTTGACGTAACCTTCCTCCAGCTGAATAACCAGACACAGAAAATAAAGACTGATGATTTATAAGTGCTATTAATTTTGTCATAATTACTAACCTCCTAGGAAATACTTTAAGAGTCCATTCTCAAAGAGTCGCCTTATTTAACCGGTGTCAAAGGCGATTCGAAGTGCACTAGGCACCATTACTGTGGTAAGTTATCTTGGATGAAGGCGAGTCAGCGGTTTTGGTGGTGACACAAACAGGTGGGGTTGACGTGAGGGTGTCCAAGGCATGGAGCTTATGTTTGTACGGAATTTTGTGGATTCCTATCTATGTTGGTTCGCGATTTTCGGTTGGGTCATAGACTGTTGGTTTGGTATCATCTGCAAGATATGCATGCTTGTCGGAAGGCATCTCAATTTGCAGCCTAAGTTTCAACTGCTGGGTGCCTAAATTTGTACTTTTGTCAGTTTTAGTGCGGTTTGGTTTACAGGATTATTATTATTATATCGGTTTATCGTAATCCATTGTTTTTTTTTGTTTTTGGCAATATAGAGTATTTTAGTTTAAAGATTCTTCTTCGTATTGAAACACCTTATTAACAGTTGTGAAACTTTAATTTTTGACATTTTGTTGCTCGATTGCGTTCGCACCGTTCACCGTGGTTCCTTGCCTCCTTTCTTAAGACTTGCTTCACTTGATAGTCTCAGTGGAACAGTCCCAGTTGGCTGTTTTGAGACTATTAAGTGTGGCTAAGCCGAGAGAAGATGTGATGGGTTTTCCCACAGATCCGCACTGTGCTTATTGCGATTATTGCCTCCTTTACATGAGATTCTTGTCCTTCCGCAGGAAGATGCGAAGGGAAGTGTAAAAGGTCTTGCCACTTTCTCTTTGCTTGGTCGCCTAATCACACTGTGGACTTAGGGTTGGTGTTGAAGCTAGTGCTGGTGGTGCGCGTTGAGGGATAAGTAAGCAGTGGCAAGAAGAGATGGGACAACTGTGCACTTAAAGCGTGTTTCAGAGGGGCCGCGCTAGGGCTCCTGTCCTCATGACGTCCTCGTCGTCTTTGCAGCAGTAGCCAGAATTATGCACTTCATGAAGGCCTGTATTTAAGATGTTGATGTATGCGTACCATACGATATCGAGGATAACAATGGCGGTGGATGGTGATGAGTTGGGTGATTTGCACATCTCTTTACATTATTGTACGTGCATTTTTGTACGTACTGCTATGTGCTATTGCTGCCTTGCATGTCTACTTGTGCGAGCAAAGCACACTCCTTTTACTGTATTCACAACGCATAAAGTAGAATTGTGAGACAGAAGAGGGCATGATGATGATGAAGGCAGCCGAGGTTCATTAATTCTACTACTTCTACTTATTTAAAAAAGTAGCTAGTTTAAAAAAATCGAAATAATTTTGTCCTTTGAATAATTGTACCAGCTGTGCCTTTTGAGTTAAAGAACACTGAGTAGACTGCAATGCTTAATGTTCCGCTGGTTAAAACCACACCATCGCGGCCGCGGCAGCAGCCACAACCTCATTCCTCAGCCGTTTAATATCAGACAACAAACTCGGCGACTTCGGCGTCAGAGACGGAGGGTGATGAATGTGTGGAACACCTCTATCCTAGCGGCCACAAACAACAGTTGGATGAACTCAATTCCACATAATCAAGATCCGTCACTCCGTTCAAGCTCAACGGAAATAACCACTTAAGGCGCCTATTTATGGGTCACAAAAGGCTTTTGGCTTGTGATAATTGACAAAAAAGGTTTAAAAAAGTCAACTTGGCCCATCTCCGGCCATCCATAATCACCGCCTCAAATGTGTGCGGCGGGCAATGTAGTCTCGTCAAACAAGAGCGGTAAACCCGACAGAAGGCAGTTAGAAAACCGAACAGGTATTCGACAGCATTAATGAAAAAAAAAATGGTAGCAAGTTCACAAATTTCAAAAAAATTAACCATTACAAAGGTGAAACATCACATGCAGAATGGAATTTTTTAAAGTTTGAAGTCACAAGAAGTGTGGCTGTTCTTCACCTGCTTACACGCAAATAGGAGATCTGTTTAGCCCGGTAAATTGTCCTCCGCATTCCCAATTTCTGCCTCATCGTTCTTTATTAAGTCACTCGACTTTACGTTCAGCGTGACGGGTCTTTCAGGCATAGCGTTCACGAAACTCGGCAAGCCGCCACACAATCGAAGTGCCAAATTCAGCACCGCCTCATTCTCGACATTGCAGTCGGCAAGTGTGTGGCCATCTTCTATCTCCTTTTCTGCATAAAATAAATGCTGTTGTTCTACAGGAATGCCCTCCCTTCTCTGGATCTTCTCTTTCACACTCGCTATTGAGTCACTTGGCTCCACTTCGAGGGCGAAAGTCGTACGTGTGGGAATGCGGACAAAGATTTGCATGCCACCTCGCAAACGCAGCACCAAATGAAGGGTTGACTCCTTTTGAATGTTGTAGTCCGACAGAGTGCGACCGTCCTCCAACTGTTTACCAGCAAAGATGAGACGTTGTTGGTCCGGTGGAATGCCCTCCTTGTCCTGAATCTTCGCCTTCACATTCTCTATCGAATCACTCGGCTCCACCTCCAGGGTAATCGTCTTGCCAGTAAGAGTTTTGACGAAGATTTGCATCACAACGATTGCAAAGAGGCGCAACAGCACTGCGAAATACTGGCACAGCCTTAAGCGTCTATTTAAATAGTCGGTACACAGTTGCGTCAGTGGGTAACGCGGTGGCCCCAATTGGCTGCTCTTCACCACAACACACCACTTCCTTCCCACCTTTTGTTTCTCCTCACTCATGACGTCATGGCAATGCCAATAACTAAATGCGTTGTAATTTTATCGCTGAAATTACTTGCCTTGGGAGTTATGCCCATCATTATTTATGTGCCTAGCCTTTCCAAAAAACGGCATTACAAATGATGAAATGGACTTTAAAGTAAAGTGAAGTGAAAACGTATTTTGTTCCATTTTAGTTTAACTAGTAGAGAGTAAGGGTAAGAGTAAGAGTTCGATTCTATTTTCATTCACTTCTTCCCTGCGATCATAACTTTGACCAAACATGAACTGGCAGATGATAGTGCATCAGATTTGTTCTCTCATTCTGCCATTAGAAGCGCCTACCGCATTGGTGAAGGAGGCGCCATCCTCACATTGCCTCCGCCACTTTAACGGTCAAGGAGAGCACATCGCCTCTCCCCACCTCACCTCACTCACCCTCACTTGTGTTTACCATCATTCAATCACCACTCACATTCAAAAGCAAATTGCCAATCATTCTTTACAAAGAGGTGCCCACACCAATTAACAGGTTTTTCAACCCAAACATTGCCGTTGTGACAAAATTGGTGCTCATTTTACGATAAACAACTGGCAATTTACTCATGTGTGCTGCAATGGCCCCAGTGCTTAGTCATTCACTCGAGGAGCTCTAGGTCACGGGATCAATCG